TACAATTTATAATAATTTTTTAGTAGCTCAGACTAAACCTAGCCAACATTTTTAGCATTTTTGAAGGTAGTATTTATCGCCATATAAATGTCTGCTAAATTAACTTAAAAACGTTTCTTCCTGGAGGCTGACCAAAATTCAGTAGAATCAATTGGATGGCTTAAGTAGGGGACAGTAGCTAGACCCTGTGCCTTGGTTTTCTACATCCCTGCAGTTTTTTGTCACTGCCTCCTTCCTTCATATTTCCCACCTAGGCAGTAGGTAAGTTGCCATAACCAGACTGTATCATGGAAAGCTTACAGTCCCGTGAGAGCAGGAATTCCACCTGGTCTGGATTTTGGACCATATTAAACCAAGTCAACTTACCAGCATTTCAGTTGGCAGGTATAAAATGGCTTTTTTAAGATCAAGAAACCTAAACTCTTAAAGGAAGTTTTGGTCAGTATTGTAGAGAATATGATTCATTTTGATTCACTTTGTGGGTTTTTTTTTAAGTAGCCAATGTCTGGGCTCCCAAAGTATTCCTTGTTTCAAGCCTTTTTTGTTTCAAAAGGCATCCATTAGAATAAGAACCATCATGCCACAAAAAGCAAAATGCGCTCTGCCATTAGCTGTGAAAAATAAATGGTTTAGCAAATGCAAAATATTGTTCTAGATGCATCGCTGGATGAACACGGTTATTTTTTGTTAGCTGTTAAGAATAAGAGGTTATTGCCAAGTTTTTATTCTGGTATACTATATTAGTAAACTGAGGATGGAGTACTGCTACAATCATTTTCTTTTTAATTACAGCACTTCATTCACGAAGAAAAGAGAGAAAGTTTAAAAACTGCAACAGCTGAATTTATTTTAGTTGCATTGTCTTTGTTTCTAACCTACTTTCTTTCAATCAACCAGAATGTATGGTCACACAGATACAGGTATTTGGGTTTAATTATGTTTTGTATACTCTCACCAACTGACTTAAAAGATATTGCTACCATGTGCTAGCTTTGGGCACCTCTACACATTTATTTCAATGTTAATAATCAGCGGCTCAGCACTTTTCTGGGGGTTGCTTTTAAACTTATTCATAGTAGTTTTATTTCTACACTTGGTTCTGGCTGTCTCAGTGACCTGTCTTAAAACAGCACATCTAAACAGTTTAAACTAGACTCATGTTTTATGATAAATTTACATGCATACAAGGATGAATTGTTTTTTAAAAAACTGAGCTATATTGATACATAGCCATTGTATTTGTTTGAATGCCAGAGCAAATCAACAGCTGATGGCATTCCTTCCTTTTAATCTGTATGAGACTCCCTAAAGAAAAGCCTTTATAGACATTTTACAAAAGATTCTGAAACGTACCACCCAACATTCTCTGTGTTTAGGTTGTTGAGCATTTTTGCACAACGTCATTAGGAGGCTGACACGGAATGCAGTCTTTGTCCACCCATATATACATACGTGCAAGAAAAGTATAAGATACTTTGCTGTAGCAAATTTTATGTAACAAAGATATATCGTCACATTAATAAATTTAAAGAAATCCTTTGTATGAAAATGTTAAAATCTTTTGTATTTCATTTAGACCAAGGACATGCTGCTGTATGCTAGCTGTATGCGATAAATTCTACAGTAACTTTGTTGTCGTTTATGAACTTTAAAGATTTTAATAAATGTTGGAGATCACAATTTGATTCTGTTATGATTTTAATTTTTAATCATTACATTTATAATTCTAGAAAGGTTCAGAGATTTTTCTGTTTTGTAATATACTGTAATCATTCATCTTGCGTGTACAATAAGACAAAAGTCTAGGAAATTGGTTCTGACGTGTCTGTCTGATATCCAGATTAAATTCTACATGGGCATAAGTGGAAAAGTCATCATAATGCCATGATATTCTGCTATTTTTTAATTTTATGAAAATCCTGTCAGCAAGTTAAACACTTTTCCAATATGGCATAATAGACTTCAGTATGGAAACAAGATTCTATTTTGGAAAAGGAGGGGAAGTGTGCAATTTCCAAGGCATTAGTGAGTACATTTGACAATGTGAGTATTATACAACCCTCTCATTTAAACACAGTCGTGAAATATAACTACAGAATATTATGTTACCTGTATTTAATTTGAAAAATCCTTTTCACAATATGGAAAAATTGTATATCTATGACAGTAGAAGCTTGTTAATTTTACACATTTGAGGAATTAAGTGTTGAACTATATGGTATATTTTAATTGTACTCTAGTTGTATGTAACTTTCATTTCCAACATAAAGGATTGTATCTCATTAAGTAAATTGCTTTTTTTATTATCTTGTCAGTTGCATTAAAACCCTTATTTTTAAATCCTTTAAAGTATTTTACTAATTTTTGCAAATAATTAGATGTTTTTAAGTGCTGCAATAGTGTGCAATATAGTAAACATTTATATACAGAAGTGCAAATTAAATTATGTACAACACTTGTGCTGCTTCTTTGTGAATCAGAATGTTGTATGACGAGAGTTGTTGCACCTCCCCACACACTGCAAGTAGGGTTTGAGAGCAAGAGGAAAAGGTTGTGAAACCTACCCACACATATGAGTTGAGGCACATTAAGCTTTACACTAACTAGGGTGTTTGGAGAAGGTGATGTGGAGAACATTAAAGGCACTATGACAAGTCTTGGACTTTTCAGACAATCAAAAGCAAGCAAGGTGATCGTTAGCTTCAGTATTGTTTGTCTTCATATTATTTTCATTTAGACTCAATGCTTTTTATTAAAGATAATTGCCTGTTTTTAAGCTGTCTGCAGATCCCACTGTACAAACTTTGTGCTGTGTCTCATTGTGCTGTGAAATAACTGAGAGAAGTAAAGACTGTTCGTGGGCTTGGCATTGTCTGTCTTGAGGCTTTTTCTGCAAGCGGAGTTAGGAGAGGCCCCGTACCTGCCCTGTGCTGCAGCTCCTCCTCTTCCTGCTGCGCGAGCCAAGCTCTGGCCTCTGCTGCTGCTGCTGTGCCCCCGCTCACTGCGGGTTTGGCTGCTTGGTTTCGTAGGACTACTGCTACATTACGGTTCAAAGGCCTTTGTACTGTTTCTGAAGCTGAGCTAAAAAACCTGCAAAAGTATTGCCTTCTGCTTTTACTACAGCTCCCATGCAAACACAGCATGTTGAGCCGCAGATTTGAACGTCATTCAAATGTGTTCTTTGATTTGCTGCGTGTGAGGAGGACTTATCCCAGATCAGAATTTTGAGAACATTCCATAAGAAAATGGTAAAAAGACAGTTCCATTCTCCAGCTGGGGTGTACATAGCTTATCTGGATGTGTTTGACGATTCAAAGCAGAAAAAAAAAGTTTGACCACACAGTTTTACAAGTGTGGGTCTTGCACACATTTAAAAAATGTTTTTAATTGAAGGCTTGAGGAATCAACTGATTTGAGTCCTCTGACATAAAGGGTAAAATTCAAGTGTCTAATGTCAGACTGGGCAGTAAAAGGGGTAGAGCTCCACAAGGATGCCTTATAGATAGTAGATATTTGTCATCTTACATAGGGATTATGTGAAGTGTTGGATTTTTTTTTTTTAGTATCTTGAGGCAAGATAAGATCTCAGGATGTCTTCTCTAACTTCTGAGTTTGATGATGAGTAAAAGTATTAATTAAATCTAAGGTCTAGTCACATTTTTACCTTTTTTTGTTGGTTTGTGGTTTGGATTTGGGGAGGGGTTTTATATTACAAAAAGGAATGCCTGTCTGAAGGAACTTGCATATATTGAAAATGTGTTTTATTTTTATAATTGACTACTACAAAAAGTTCTTACCTCAGTGGGATAACAGCAGCTTGAGGTTTCCATGAAATCTTAGGGATGAGTTCCCAACATTGTGTTTCAAAGCCGGTAAAAATTCCTTTAGAATCCTTACAGCCTCGTTATCCTGTTCCCTCCCTCAGAAGGTCAGATATAAATGGCTTTGCAAAAATTTATTTCTAAGAATTGTGTTTATGTAGCTCTTTGTTTTAAAGTTTAAAAGCAACCCAGTGACAAACTTGCATATTTCTTACTAGTGCCGTGTTTATAAGGTTTAGATTTTGATAGATCACACAGTGGCAGTCTAGTGTCTGATTGCAAATGCTGCTCTCTGTGTTAGAAGCAGCCCGGCTGTAGGTGAGGCATCTGTGCCAAGGACAAGATAAAGGCACTGCCCAACATGTGTACAAGGTTGCAGCACAAAAGCTCTTTAGAATGAGCGGTTGTTGTAGTTGGAAGGAGTTTGAGGACGGAGGTCAGGCATCTGTTCCCATACGTAGGCAACCACAGTAACATGTTTTCCTTTGCTGGGAGGTAGTCATCAGAAACATCCTCCTTTGCCTTTGCTTCCAAGGTGCTGTGGAAAATTGGAAAGGACACAGCTGTAGGTATGTTGACACAAATGGAGCAAGGTCTCAGCAGCCAGGCAGACAGTGTGGTTCATTCTGAGTGTGTCCAGGCAATTCCAGGAAAAATTACTGGTGATTAGGGCAAGAAAGAGAAAACTGGAGTGTTGGAAGGCTTGATTAACTGTCTGAAATTCTTCCCCCACCAAGATAATTTGATTAAATTAAAAAAAAAATAATCCAACACCCCATTTGCATTTAGTGGTGTATTAATGCTTTGGTGTACACAGCAATATCACAGGAACTGCCTTCTCCCAGAAGTATTGCTCTTTACTGTGTATCTACATTGCTACTTTGAATGTATATGTAGTTATCTAAGTTACAGTTCAACAAAATGAATGCTTGATTGGGATGTCCTTTCGATTTCTTCCATCTTTACCCTCATCTTTCTACTTGATGTTTTCGTGTGTGGCAGGTCCTACTGCTAGTGTGGGCACAATGAGCTGTGTTTTTTACAATGATTTTTTAATATAAAGTATAAGCTTTAAAATAACAAGGCTTTATGTCCAGACAGAAGCTTATTAAATATGAGCGACTACCACAGTAAGAAGGTGCACAACAAAGTAAGTAGGGCAGGAAATTCTCAGTGAAGTGGATGTAATTCACATGCAGGAAGATTTATTTAAGCAATTCAGTCCTGGAAACAAGAGGAAGCAAAAGCAGAAAGGTATCGCTGCCTTGCATTGCAGTCAGCTGCTGTACACGTTCGTTTTTAGACTGGTACAAGGAGGGTGCAACACTAGTCATCTTACTGGAGATTCATATGATTACAAAAAACAGTTGGATAACACATGTTGTATAAAAAGTACCTTAGGATACTAGTGCAAAGATTCAAGGGACTCTCCATCAGGACAAACCAAGAGCCTTTGCCACCCTGCCTTGTCAGTAAGTCTGGGCCGTGCTCCTCCCCTCAGGCTTGCAGGCAGGGAGCTGTGTCACTGACTCAGCCTGTGCACCTGCACAGCTCTGAACCCTGGCACTGGGCCTGATACCCACAGCTTTGACAAAAGTTTTTGCACATCTACAGATCCTGGGTTTTACCTTACAGGAGTGTACCCAGGTAACTGCGAGGAATGTAAACTGAGGCTGACTGGCTGTTGTGCTCTGATCTAGCACTGCACACTTAATTGCCTTGAAAATGAATGCCAGGCTGGTAGCAAGTCACTGCTGTATTCTGGCCGCAGGTTTTCTGCCTTCCTTCCCTCCACACTTATTTAACACCAATGCTATCTTTAGCCTTTTGTCTAGGCTTTATGCAGAACTTCAGAGCAACATGACAGTGCTCAGCCCTGCAGAAAACCCTGGCAGGTCAGAAGGGGACTGTGAAGAAGACACAAGTTTTTTGGAGGATCTTGCTGGCCAAGGCAGGAATTGAAGAGAGGCACTTCATTGCTGGACTCTTCAGGCAGACTAGAGTTCCTTGATGGGAGCTGTCCCTCATTCCTATGTATGCAGTGCTGAAGTAGGGAAGGGAGAGCAGGACAATGGGTCCAACATCTGTTGATGCTGTGCAGCAAGGTAAGTGACAAAATTCCATTCCAGCAAACTGTAAAGACAATGGACAGGAGTTGAAAAGATTTTAACTGAGAAAAGACAGTTTTCTGAGAGTAAGGTGTTGGAAAGGTGCAACCTGGACCAATAACAGGGTTTTTGTGTCTTTCTGAGTATACTATAGTTGCCAGGGACTGTGGAAAAGACCCTTAGTTACTCTAAGTAGTCCAAGGCTGTCTAAAATCACCTGGGGGACAAGCTGTCATCTGTACACCCATGTCACTTCCACCCTTGTGACGAGTTACTTAAAAACAGCTTGAGCCCCTCCCTTGATTCCCCTGCCGCCACTGCTGTGCATTACGAGGAGCTGATCATTTGTTGGCTGCCAGCACATTTAGATGAAATGTCTCCGCAATTTGCCCATATCTGGTTCGCTTTTCCTCACGGTGAACCACAAGCGATCCCCGCCAGCCCCGAAGTGTCTCCTTGAGCACGCAGAGGAGCAGCAGCCGCGCTCTGGGCTCCGGGAGCCGCCCCGGGGCCGTGAGGGGAAGAGCCCCGTGAGGGGAAGGGAAGGGCCCCGTGAGGGGAAGGGAAGGGCCCCGTGAGGGGAAGGGAAGAGCCGCCGGGAGGGGAAGGGAAGGGCCGCCGGGAGGGGAAGAGAAGGGCCCCACTCCCGGCAACCCCCGCGCCGCGGTGAGGGCGGCCCCTGCCCCGGCCCGTCCTGCTGAGGGCACCGAGCGGGCGGGCCATGGTGGCAAAGGAATACCTATTTTATACAGGCATACGGCCCATTCTGCTCTGCATAAGGCTAGCTTTTGGAGGGCGGCTTCCCTCAGTGGGAAACCACGCAAGTCCTGCGTTGTTTCCTCATTCAGCTTTCCCTGTGTTTAACCATGTTTCTACCCAGGACACTGGAATAAGGAAGGTTTAAAGGGCTTTATTTAGCTCTGGTGGAGCTGAAACTCAGTATCCACTGCACAACTAACAGGGCGCTACACTCTGCCACATGCATGGTGCATTTTGTCTTCATCTACTGTTTTCATTGGCAGGGACAAAAAAATGATAGCCTTTTCTGGCCTTTCCCAATACCCAGAAAACAGGGTCGACTGGTGTCCGATACCTGCGCTGAGCTCTGTGTGTTTCCCCCTGTGTGACAGCAGAAGGTGAGACACAGCCAGTCAGGGCTACCAATCCTGGTCTCACTTTGTTCCCTTGCACAGCTTGGAAACTGTGTTGTTGGTTTGGGTTTTTTTTGCCAGAAGTGGGATGCAAATAGTCAAACAAAAGACTAATTCACTTTTCTGTTTTGTCTCCCTCCAGACGTAATTTCATTATAATTAAATTACCCTACCCCAATGAATGAAAATACAAGCCACAGATGATATTCCGCATTGAATTTTTCCATAACCCATTTTATTAAAATTCCTCTCTTTGCTGTTCAAGGTCCTCTAGAAGGAACGCATGTACTGTGTGAGCCTCACTTTAAATACTCAAAGAATTAATTGAAGAACATGATGGAAGGAAGGGGAGAGTGTGAGTAAAATAACTCATTTATATTTGTATCCTCAAATATCAGTTCATTACCAAAGTTAGAAACCAGCTGATGCAGAAAACTCATTATGGCCTCATTCAGAATGCTTATTTCTTGAGAAACAGAAAAGAATTGCCTTGCTTGGCTTACTTGTCCAACACAAATATGCCATGTTTTACAGTATGCTTTGGGATGTGAACTAAAGAGGGTTTTCTTTAGGGTGCACTACATTTAATACTCTATTTATCTTGTTTATCTGCATTTATTTAAATCCAAAGGAGTGAGGACTGTCACTGCTCTCTGTTCTCAACACTTCTGTTGATGCTTGAGTGCTGTTATTTGCATAGTTTTTACAAGCTTTGGTTATTTATTTAACAGCATATGTCAGACAAAATGAAGTGGTTGGGGAAGTCATGTCTGCAGTCCTTTGCACAGAAGTCCAGTTTTCTGGTGATTTTAGTGCTCCTAACTGTGTTGGGTTAGCAGTTAGGTGACCTGAATCTCGGTGCAGCAAGCTTTGTCTGGGAGTGAGACAGATGCATGGTGCCTGGGACAGCCCCATGTGCCTGCTCTGCTGGCCAGCAGGCTCTGTCTGTGCCGGCTGGGGCACTCGTGTCACAGAGCTCTGCAGAAATCTCTAGGTTCTGTATGAATCCACAGGTAATTTGTAATGTCCCCCTTGCCTCGCAGCAAACAGCAGGGTGTAATTTGAGTGGTTTGACTCAGAAGGAAACTCTGCAAGTAAAGCACCCCACAAATTTGAAGTAACCCAGGCTGTTAGGGATAGTGAAAAGATAACAGCATCTGGCTGGGACACAGCCCTGGCTGCAAAGCCCATGCGTGGGAAAGCGGGATGTGTTGGTTGGTATTCCTTGCTTAATTCCCCTGGCACTGACAACATCTCGTCCATGTAATGCTTCTATGCCATTAGAAAACATCATGAATCAAGAAAAATTTTGAAGAAGACATTAAAAAATAGAGTGTAATAAAGAAAAAAAAAAGTGCTGTTGCCAGATAAACTTGAAAACTTTGTAGGTGAGATTTTACTGCCAGTGGGCCAGACTTTGTCATTTGTAGGCACTTTGAATTGTACCTTCCTGTACAGCAAATCCCATGGGTGTGGTATACTTGTGAAATAAAAGTCTGGAGCTTAGACCACTAAGAGATGTAAATGTCCCTGGGAATCAGCGTCTCCACCTCCTCTCTTTCCCCAGTGCTGGCAGTGGCATGGTAGTGGTGGTGGCTCCGTTGTCCTTGGTCACTCCCCTTTCCCATCACCTCAAGCCTCCAGTTTCATGAGTTCCAGAGAAGGCCAAGTTTGCTGTCCACATGCGTGTGACGAACTTCCACACTTCCATCAACCCCAGCTGCCTTGCCGATTTTCACCTGCTGTATGGCCTTAAGAGTTTCTCCCAAAATGGGGGCAATATCCAGTTCATACTTCACCCGTTGTCATGTGATGGACTGAATTGCTGAGTCTTGAACTACACAGTTGGTACTGAAAAGAGTCTGAAAGTGTTCAGACCATCGATTCAGAATGGAGGTTTTATCTGTCAGAAGCGTTTGACCATCAGCGCTGAGTAGAGGGCTTTGTACCTGGTATGTAGGCCCGTATGCTGTTTTCAGGGCCTCATAGAATCCTTTGTGATCACCCATATCTGCTCATAATTGAGTTTTTTCAGCTAGATTGATCCACCACTTGTTCTGGATGTCACGGAGTTTCTGTTGGAGCTTGCTGCATGCAAGACAAAAGGCTGCTTTTCTTACGTGACAGGATGGCAGTGCAAGGTGTGTTTGATGAGCAGTTCTCTTCTTCTCCAACAATTCCTGGATCTCTTGACTGTTTTCATCAAAACAGTCCTTGTTCTTCTTGAAGGAGAACCCTTAGGATTCTTCAGAGGACTGCAGGATGCTGTTTTTAATATGGTGCCAAAGTGTTTCAGGAGAGGCATCTGTAGAATCTGTGGAATGGTTTTCGAGCCTAGTTTGAAGGTTTGCCTGGAATCTGTCTCTCACTTTGGCTGATTGGAGATTGTTAACTTGGAGTCTCCTCCTTGGGATACTGCCCCTTTTAGGTTTGAATGTGAGATTGAAGTTTACAGCGCACCAGCCGATGGTCTGTTTGGCATTCTGCACTGGGCATCACGTGAGTATGGTGGACATTGTGAACATCTCTCCGTCGCACCAAGACATAATCAGTGAGGTGCCAATGCTTAGATCTGGGGTGCATCCAGGTTGTCTTCAGACTGCTTTTCTGCTGAAAGATAGTATTAGTGATGGTGAGCTGTTGCTCCGCGCAGAATTCTAGCAGAAGTGAACCATTATCGTTTCAGTTTCCAACACCATGCTTGCCTAATACTCCTTTGCAGGCTTCAAAGTTCTTTCCTACTCTGGCATTGAAATCACCAAGGATAATGATCTTATCATCTGCAGGAACCTTTTGGGTAAGGCGGTGCAGGTTGGTGTAAAATTTATCTTTTTCGGCAGGGTCAGCTTGGAGAGTTGGGGCATATATACTAAAGAGGACAACGTGTTGCTTGTTGTTTAGTGGAAGGCATAGAGAGATAATGCGGTCAGAGTGACCTGTCGGTAGATTTTCGAGTTTAGGAACAACAGAGTTTTTAATCATGAAGCCTACACCCGAGAGATGCCTTTCGGTTCTGGGTTTACCTGACCAAAAGAGTGTGTAACCGGCACCGTGTTCTCTAAGGCTGCCTTCCTCATGGAGACGAACTTCAGTGAGAGCAGCTGTGTCGCTCGGTAGGAGTAGAAATGTCCACAAGGAGGTCCCAAGGCACTCAGGTCCCGAACCGGGAGCCGAGCGCTGCTCCCCGTGTGCCGCCGGCAGGTCGGCCCCGCCGTGCCCGCACGCCGCTGCCCGGCGCTGCTCGAGGCTGCCCCGCAGGTACGCGCTGCCGGCAGCGCCGCGGGGGCGTCGCTCCCTCCCTGCCCACCCCGCTCCGCTCCGTGCCCGGACTGCCGGAGACCCTCCGGAGACCCGGCGGGCGCGGCGCCTTTAAGGCGGCGGCCATGACGCGGGCGGACCCGTCACGGCCCGGGCGGGGCCGCGCCCGCCGCCGCTCGGAGCCGCCGCGCAGCGCCCGCTGCCGCCGGGGGGGCGGGGGCCGCGGGCTCCGGCGCTCCGCAGCAGCCGGGGACCATGCACTGGTTTAGTTGCTCGTAGGTAGGTTTTTCTGCCTCGCTTCCCCCGCCCCAGGCAGAGCTGACGATGCGGAGCGGGCGCGGGGGTGCCCGTGACACGGTGAACGGGTGTCACAGCCCCGGCGGGGCCGCGGGGAAGGGCAGCCCCGGGGGCTCCGCGGGCGGTGCCCGCCCCGAGCTCGGGGGGCGCCGGGAGCTGCGCGGCCGCGGAGCGGGGGCGTCCGGCAGGTAGTGCGGTGCGGGTGTCGCCTGCAGTCACCTCAGGTGAACCAAGAAGTGATTCGGGGCAAGACGTGGAGTTGTTCGGTCAGCGCTGCAGGAAGCATCTTTTCGATTAGTTTGTTACTGTCTTCTTGGTGCTTTACGTGATGTTTAATAAAGGATCCTTTTTTTTTTTTTTTTTTTTAACAACAGTGTTAATTGCAGTTCTCTATTTTTGCAAAGTTTTAGCTGAGGAGCATGATTTCCCTGTTATGTACTTCCCAGAGCTTGTGCCATTTCACTGGCATCCATTAATGCTACACACCAAGAACATCCTGAGTCCTTGGTCAGTTCTCTGGTGCTCTCTGAAACAGAAATGGCTTACTTGAGAACAGAAAGGAAAGGCTTGGGTCATTTCTGCGTGTTTTGTGGAGTGGTGGAAAAACCTATGTGGTGAAAGTACTGCAGCACGCAGTGAGGAGGGAAATTAATGGGATTTTCTCCTCTGTGCTTCATGTGCTCCTTCCCTTTTTGGAGTTTGGTATACTATACCTATAAAAGAAGCTAGTGCAGGAAGGGTGGTCTGATAAGATACTGATGTAAGCCTCAGGAGCTTGGTGCTCAATTAGTAATTCTGCTTACCCTTTTTATGTGTGAGATGGGCAAAAATGACTGTGCTCGTCTGTATCCCAGAGTGCCCATTTGTAAAGCAAGGCTATGATTTCCAAACCTCTCTAAGGATAAGATCATGCGTCTGTTTGGACCCCTCGCAGGCTGACTGAAGGCCTGTTAAGCTCTCTTGATACGCAGCTGTATATTGTAGGTCAGTCTCCATGTATATGAATATATAATTTGATCAATATTTTAACACTTAAAAAGGATCAAATTCCTTGATTTTCAGGCAATAAATATTTCTTGTGTTTGAAGCACAGGTCAACTTTTTTCTAGTTCATTAGCTCCTGTTGGCTTTGCCAAGCTTCTGAGAAAATCAGTCTTTGACAACACTGTTGCTCTCAGGTGGAAACATGCTTGTGTCCCTGTAGAATGCTTGTTTCTGTTACATTATGTTGTTCTTGTCATACTAGCAATAATTACACACTGCTTTTTTCCCCTCCCTATTAATCAGTTGCTGAAGTAAAAGAAGCCTCTATCCTCCCCATGCTAATTGTTGACATGGAAAACAAGGAAAATGGCTCTCTGGATGTCAAAAAGTAAGTGAATTCGAAGTGTTCCTTTTCTGTAAACAGGACATGGATTTTGAATGTAGTTTTCCTTTGACCTAATGTGATTGGCAATTGTGGGTGTCTCCATCTTTGGTCATTTCAAATCTTGTCTGTTCTAAACTATTTCTATTGTATTTCAACTTTGAAATAGAAGACTCTAGGGCACTGAGTTGTTTAGAGGAGGTGTGCGGAAGGACTGTATAGCAGTGGAGAGATGTAGAAGCTGGTAACTTGAGTTAGGGGTACACCTTCCTCCATTAATCTTTTTTCCTCTCAACTAGAGAAAGTGGTAGCACTGTAACCAATATTCTACCTCTGCTCACCTGTGTGCTCATGGCTTTTGCAGAACCAGTGCCTAATGGACAGAAGTGTCCTCTGTGGAAATCTGCTTTCTGTCTCATTCAGAAAGACATACGCCCTTCTCTGCTGTCAGCCCACCTGTCTAGTGGCTGAGAAGTAGCAGCAGTATATCACTTCAGTGTCAGTTCTCCTCTGAAACAGATATCTTAAGCTGTTTCTTGGAGAAGCCCTAAACTGCTGGGTTTTTACTTCAGACCTATGGTGGGAATAAGACAGATACAGTGTGCACTGCCCTACTGTTTCCTTTTATGTGGTAAACTGCAGGTTAAGGAATAGGAACTGTTTTGTAGGCATTTACTTATCCCTAAAGGTCAGAAATTCTTAGATTAGGACTAGCAGTTTTGAATGAAGCCATGATCTGAGAAGTGAAGTTCTGTGTGGAAAAATCTGGCCTTGCTGCTTTATGGTTTGGCCTTGCTGCTTTATGGTTGTAGAAGCCATGCTGAGATAGGTGTACACATATGCATGTATATTAAAAGAAAAAAAAAACAACAACAAACCACAAAGAAAGATACTAGAGTGCGTTCTTTGTCTGTCCTCTCGAACTGCAGCACTTCTGCGCAGCTGCAGCTCATTCTTCTCCTTCAGATCCCTTTTACATAAGCCATCCAAGACAACAAGACAATGCTTAGGCTACCAGGCACTAGAGTAATATAAATAATAATAACGGTCACTTCAGGATGCTGATAAAACACCTGATTATGACACGGCATCAAAAGATCTGATGGCAGCCATTAAAATCAGCGTCCTGCCCCTTCACTTGAGATGCTGGCTATACCACACCAACATAAAGAGCATTTTCCTATTCAGTGACTGTGAATGGATTATTGTGTATGTTCCTCAGAAGCCACCTTCAGTTGACAGTCTGGCTTCTACAATGAGTACTCTGGTGGGAGGAGAAGGGTCGCAGTCAAAGCAAGGACAGTTCACATTTAATCATATTCCCCAAGGCTTCAGTGAAAAAGGCTCAAATACTGATTGCTAAGGTGGCTTTTTAGAATGGATGGGAAATGTAATTAAACTGATCAGGGCTGTGGTTTCTAGATGAATATATATAGTATGTTTGTGTGCTTATCTACAAAGGAAGTATTTGACACTTTGTTGAAGTGGTTATAAATAGCTTGGATAAAATCTGTTTGTTCTCAGCTATGGCTTTTCAGACTTTGCTGCTTCTGCCACATGATGGCAATAAAGGCACAGGGACACTGGTGAAAAACAGACAAACCTAATCTTTATACATTGTCAGTGCATCTAGTATCTCCTGTCAAAGCCTAAAATGCCAGTCCTCTTAAGTCCTTTTACAGCATCCAGGATGTCAGGCATAAAGCAATGTATGGCTAAGCTATGGATGTTATATTTTCGCTTTCCTTGTTTAAAGAACAGAGCCATGTCAACAGCAGGGCAAGGAGGAGACTATTAAAGTGCTAAATGAGCATCTGTGTGGGTAGATGGGTTAAAATCCAGCCAGCCTCCAGCAGTCTGCCACATGCCTTCCAGTCTTCCTCAGCTGTAGCTGTGGAAATTGGCTCCACTCGAGGTCCAGCATGATGCTATTCCTTGAGGAAGGAACTTGCAATTATTTCCTGCAATTAGTTAATGACAGAGATAGAGCCCCTGAAGTCATTGCAGTTGGGCCTGGGATGGGGCTGGACCAAGCTGTAGTTCCCTAGTGATAAAAGAAAAGCTACAAAAAAACCCCAACACACCTGGGCTGATAAAAAACTGTGGGAAGGAGGGTTTGGGACCATATTTAACTTGAAATTAAAATGTTTGGAGAAGTAAGCAAATTATGGTCAGGATGTATTTTTACAGATTGAACCTTTTATTTGCTGTTTAGGAAGGATTAAATTTGGTATCTCCTAGAGTTTTTTCTAATACTGAGTTGTTGAGGTTTTGTTTGTTTATTTTTAAGTAGAAGATGAGTCATTGGAAGTGATAGTTTATAATGTAGGGAAAGTGCAAAGATTTAAATATAATTCTTCAAATTCTACTATTATAAATACGTGTAGATTTTGTGTGGTGCTTTCAACATTTTACTTCTTAGGCTTCAGAATGTGCACAACACTGAAAAATCTTAAGAGAAAGGCATTCTTTGGCTTAAAAAAAATGAAAAGGAAAAAAATGCAGCTCTGATAAGACCAGATAGTCCCATGTTCAATTTTACTGAGTGTTGCTTTCTATGTAATCACAATCAGAGAAGCAATTAATGAAGTAAGTCATTATGTGATGAGCAAAAGTAAGAAACTCTGGTCCTTTGCTTATTGCTCTGAGATATATGATAAGTGAAAGAAACTGCTTCTAGAAGGCCAAGTGCAGCATAGATTGTGGATGAGTCCCTGCAGTCAGATTTTGTTGCCATATTGACAGGAACATTTCAAGAGTTAGGGGAGATGCAAAAACTGTTGTTTTCACGAGTCCTCCTTCCCAGGGCTTGGAAAGTTGTAGAAATTGGGATGTTGTAGAAACAGTGATGGGAGGCACTCTGTGTGATTCTGTTTGGCTGGTTTGAAAAATGGTTGACACTCTGATTATTTTGCTGAAAGACGTACAAGTCCAGGCAAGGCAGAGGTGGTGACAGCTGGAAAAGAAAAATTTGGAGGACAGAACAAAAATGGTGTCAGCAGAGTATAATCTGCGTGTCTTTTCCAGCTGGTGCTGTTGAAATCCAAGTCCTGCTGCTCAGTCCTTCAGCCCTGAGATGGACAGGATTCTGACTTCTGTCCTGATCTGTACATTTTCGGTATTTCATTAGTGTTATGGTTAAGCATGCAGAACAGTGAAAAATATTTGGCATGAACTTCAGGACTTTCAGTTGGAGAAAGATGTTAGAGAAACTCTTTGATGTCTTGCTCTTCATCCTCATGAATCCCAATAGAAAAGGCAATCAAGCTCACTGTGTGTCTTTTACCAAGAATTTTTAGATACACAAAGGTTATCTTTGTGATATAGTGATTCCAGTTTGAGGAAAAGAAAGGCAGAATAAGGATTGTAATATGAATGTTTGGTTGGTTTTGCTGCTGTTGAAAACATTTGCCTGAGGTTAATCACAGAAGGAATTAATTCTGATTGCATTTAACAGATGTTTTCTCAGATTCATAGTTATTTAGGAAGTCCATAGATTTGTCTGAAGATGAGTCCAAAAACATGAAAAATTTTCTGTATTAAGAATAAGTGCAATCATTTGGTGCCTCTTTTTTGTTTTGTTCTGTTTTTCTTTTTTTTTGGGGGGGGGGGATGTTGTTTGTTTGTGTTTTATTATTTGATGTTGTTTTTATAAGGTAAAGACGGTTACCAGTAATTTCTAGCCACGTTACAAGGAAGCCCAGTCTCATCTGGGAAAAGAATAATCGACACACAATTCGTTAGGTACTTGGTAGCTGAAAGCAAGCTGAAGGCTTGAAGGACAGGAATTTGGATCCTCAGTTATGGCAGTCTTCATTGTCCAACAGCAAAGGCAGCACACTTGTAGGAAGATCCTGACTGAATACCTTTGGCTGATGTGAAGATTCCTATATTTTCTTCTTTTCTGAAGGGAGAGGTACCTGGGAGTTGTCCCCAGCATTAGGTCTTTGACATGGAAAAGAACAGGAATGACTGTTCTGTATCAGGGCAGAGGGAGGTGCGTCCAAGAATACTTTTCCTGAAGAAACAAGGAGGGAGGGGCCGTACGTGTGGTGTGCACAAAGAAGCAGCAGATGTTCTGCACGCATTTAGTGACTACTTGTCTGGATTTTCACTTTGCAGTTCAGTAGAGAACGGGAGACCTCCAGATCCTGCTGACTGGGCTGTTACTGATGTTGTGAATTATTTCAGAACAGCTGGATTTGAAGAACAAGCCAGTGCTTTTCAAGAACAGGTAAACCTGTTATCAAACACCTTTTGACTGCCACCAGTTTCTCATGTTGCACGTTTTTGCCATAGGCCTGACTATATACTGTAAAATGGGAGTGAAAATCTCACATTAATGAGGGGATTTGAGTCTGTTATTGGATGACAATCCATGGGACTATGAACTTTGAGTAATAATATTTTTCTGCAAGCTGTGGCTAATGAGTTGGAGTTTGTTTAAAATAGTTATTAGAAAGATGAGAAATCTAAACAAATTTTTCTGGCTTGAACTCAAGTCTTCCTGTACAACACACTCAATTTCATTGTCTTGAATAGTAATTCCCTTCTTTCGTAGTGTATTGTGCAAGTACACTCATGAGTATTTATAAAACATGGGGCTCCTAAGCAACAAGTTTTTTCTGAAGGCGTAGGGTGAAAAAGGGGCTGCTGTGTTACAGTGAACTTGGCAGTACAAGTGAACAGGGAAAGGATAAGTTGATAGGGGAGTAATGTGTTCGTATGACAGTGTGAGAAAGAGGTTGGGTCTTTGTTTCTGGGCCTTGTAGCTGCTAATGCTGATGGATGGCTTCTTCTGGTAGATTTGATCAGCAAAGAGCTTAACAGTCAGATGGCCCCTTGTAACTCACCTGCCAGCAAACTGGTAAAGGGAGCAGAATAGGGAAGTCAGCTTACTTGGCCTACAGCCCACCTGTTCCATAGGGGAGTAACTTACATCTCCAGATTGTCAGTTCAGCACCTTCCCTGATAAATCTGTAGGTTTAAGTGCAACTACCAGGAAATTAGTCACCAACATTTGTACTTAGTTATCAAAACAGATGTCTTGACCTTCCAAGGCAGTGGGCTAGTGCAAGTTATTGGCAGCTTTGCAGGGACACTGTGCATCTCATATGAAGTAACATCGTTGATCAGGTTAATGTTGCTGCCCTTCAGCACTATGTCTGTGAAATCCCATCTGATTGTAACTGATGAATATAATGAAGTATCTTTTGTATCTTTATTCTTGGGGTTGAAAAGCCTGCCGTTGGGTGATTCTCTGGCAAGTTGCAGATGAAGGTTCTTTCTCCAGCTGCTACTCATTCTTCAGAATTTGAAGATGGGTAAACAGACCAAAAAAGAAAACATTTGAGTGTGTCCATTCCTTAATACCAGCATCCATGTCTCCTCAACAGCTCTGGAAATGTGGCTTAAAAACCCATACAGACAAAGTAATTGTGGCCTCTGGGAGTTTTTATCTTGTACTGTCAGATACTTCTGACTTTCATCAAATATCTTAACCTCTCTGCACCTCAGCTGGCTTGTCAATAATACTGCAGTAATTACTACTGATCTTTCAGCAGCAAGGTGAGGCTGACTCATGAGTTTTGGCAAAGCAATTTGCAACAGCCTTATGGAAAACAGCAGGGAAGTGGAGTGTAAAGGTTTTACTAGTATTCTGCAGTGAGGGCAAGTGGCTTCAGTATGATAACTGAGGACTCTGCTAGGATAGGCATGTGCAGAAATGTGGCTGTGATTCCACTGCCAGTGTCACTTTATGCTAAAGCCTTGCAGAGAGAGGCAGACAGCTGCCACCAGGATGTGGCTAGGAGCTGTGGGATGGACAATCACTGCAGAAGTCATTGCCACTTCTTTGCGCCTCCTTTCCATTAGCAGCACAAGGAGCAGCAAGTACTTGGTTCTACATAGCAGCTCTGCCAGCCTGTTCCCTGTCTGGATCAGAAACAGCCCCATAAACAACCCTATCCCTAACCTCTTACCAGTGGTGGTGTTTAGTTTCTTCTACAATATTTGCTAGCCACTAACTTTAACTCTGTCTTCTTATGGTATCTGTTATCAGGATCTTCCAGGTATGGCAGTGCAGACAGGTTCAGTTTGAATCCCAGCCATGCTCTGTCTATAGAGCACCAGTCATGCAGCCGAAGTTTTGGCCATCTCTGTTTTCCTCTGCCATTTGCAGTTTGCATGGGTCCCTAGAAACCAGATCTGCTGCTGCCCTGAATATGTACTGGAAAAAGAATGAGGTTGTAAGTGGTAAAGGAAAGTATTCAGTGTCACCTACAACACTGGGAAATTGTTTACCACTGAACTGCTTTGGTAGGGGTAGCACAATGGTTTCCTTACAAAACATCCATAGCCCAGAATGTAATCTGTTATTATGTTCAGGTTTTACACAACAGTAGCAAAGTCCAACTTTCTTTTGATGAATCTGAATACATCTGGACTTGCCTAAAACAAGTGATTCAAAAAATTTTTAAGACCTGAATTTGTCTTACAATATTTTAAGGACTATGAGAAGACATTTTAAGAGCTGCAGAATGTTTTATTAAAACCGTATTGTAAGTGCTGGTAAGAAGTGATGGTTGTATGATGGTCATACCTTATTCCTTCTTGGAGTTCCACTGATGTCAGCAAATCAAAAGAGCTCACTGATGAAAACACATTCAACTCAAAGATGCTGCCCAGTAATAAAAAACCATAACATCAGCAAGCAAATGAGACAAGCCAAGAAGTTGAGGATACCTAAAGAGGGAGGAATACCAGATGCAGGGTGAAGGTGTGAACACTTTCAAAGAAATGCTGCCTGCCAGCATGTGGCTGGGCTTTCTCTAGGAGCCCTGGGAGCAGAGGGGGCTGTAGCTCACTCCAGGACTGAAGCTGTTTGAAAGTCTCAAGACATGCTAGTGCTGTGACCTTTGTTATCGCCCGTGTGGCTTCTTACCCATTAGTCCTGCGATAGCCAGATAAGCCCAGTGCTGGTTTCCTGGCCTCGCTGCAATCCCTTACCCGAAGGGAATCTGGGGTTTGATACCAGCTGGTGTCCACTGTTGCTTTCTGGCAGAGCCACGGCACAGAGGAGTGTGGGAACATGCTGGCTGCCGTGCTTTCATGTGGCCTGTGCTGTAAAACCTTGCAGTTCTCAGAAAGGGCAGAAGGAGTGGTGGGAGGACTTGAAGCTTAACCAGTCCTCTGGTTTTTTGCTGAAGAGAATATTCAACTGCTGTTGAGATCATCCAGGCACAGTGGGAAATTACTGTTAGCTCTAGTTGTGCAGAGGTGTCTCTCTGCAGGTAACATAAAAAAAAGGCATACTGAAAGCTGGCACTGAAGTTGCATCCCCCCTGAAAAATACAGAAAATAGACAAGTAGCAGAGAAGAAATCAGAGAAGTCACTAAAGCATACAAAATCTTACCTGGTGACAAAAAATGGAGTAACTGTGACAATTCTGCAGAAGCATGTTTATGTGGAAACTTAAAGGAAGTGGAAGAGGTAAAGCTTACAATACACACAAAGATATAAAATGCTTGAACTCTGAATACATAATCACTCATTTCTACACAGATGTTAAAGAATCAGTTTTCTATTCAATGAAAGCTTTAGTAGTTACCAGCACTTCTAGAAATCACAGGGAACCCTGTAGAAGAAGAAGGGGAAGGAATAGATGCTTTTTTCCTATTCTTGGAGTTTCTCCTGTTCCAGGTACTGGATTTACTTCATTGGGATCCTACCAAGCTGGAGGCTGTTCTTCCTCCATAGCATCGTTGAACAGCAGCAGAAAAGCAACTTCAGATCGGTCATAGCAATGAGCAAAATACTCACTGGTGTCAAAATTCCCACAGAAAGAATTGTGACGAATGGAAAAGAGAGGATAGAAACTGGTTTTAACCATTAACATTCTCAACAGTAATTGGAAAGAGACCTGCTCTAATTGGGTAAAAAGTTATTGGAAACTTTTTTTTCTTTTAGACATACTGTTACTTTGTGCTCCTCTGAGGGAATAACAGTCTAATGTATCCTGGGGGTATTTTAAAGAAATTCCACTTTCAGTTGATCTTTGACTGTATTGTAGTTTGTCCGTCTATTTTGTATTTATAAACTTTATCGAATTGTAGGAGAGATCAGTCTGGACAAATTCATGCTGAACTGTAATATATATCTTCCTCTTTTCATGTTGACTTATAATCAAGAATGGGATCTCTAACATTTCCAAGACAACATTTAATATTCCTAAGGAACATGCTGCAGTTTGATAAATTGATGTGTGACATTTATAATACTTATAAAAATACTAAATTTTGGCAGTATATTAGAGGACAACAACAATAATATGCCAGCATTTGAATTCATTGTTGGCTATTGATAACAAATTCAACACTTAACAGTGGGGGTTTCCTTAATTAAAAGTAAAAAAAGGATGCAACAGCAGAGTGAAGTCCAGTGCAGGAGAATGCCAGATAAGGCTGTATACTTCTTTGGGCTGTGATGCCCTTTGGAGGTCTGGCTGTGTTATGAGACACCAATCAATGCATTGTTGTGTAGCTGTAACTCCTGTTTCTGGAGTGGTGCAGTGTCACTGAACTGTAGGAATGTGTGACGAAAAGGATGATCCCGTGTCTAAAATGGAGGAGGGAGTTGAGAGATGTGGATTCTTTCTTTTCCATTTTGACCTTTGAAAAGTCATTTAGAGGTAGTTTTCAAACATATGACAAGGTTTTGAGATGGAAAAAGCTCCAAAGCCTACAGGATTTCTAATCTAAACAGGTCAGAAGGTCAAGGTCTGAGAGAAAAAAGTGCCACCGTATCTCGGCTTTACAAGTTATATTTAAGCAGGAAAGTGTACGGGTTGTTGAGACCTCAGCTGGCAAGTTGCCACTTTTCTCCTCCTCCCTTGTAAGTGGAGGAAGAGAAGTTACCTCAGAGTGTCAAGCTCCAGTTAGGCCCTTCTGAAATTTCTGATTGCAAGAGTCTTCTCTTTGTTTTCCCCCACAAGATGCATGGGAAGGTTGGCCTTTTAAAGAAGGCACCTGAAGTTATTAGCAGATACTGGTGAGTCTAAACTTGCATGTTGCTGTCAATAGTAATTCTGAAATGCACTTAGTAAGCTGCCTTCTTAAGGGTATCCTTCCCTTAATGGCTGATAATTAGGCAATCTGCACTTGTAGCTATTAATTTGAAAGAGGTTTACAAGGAGGGAATTTTGAAATTAGGCTCATTTGAATTTTTTGCTTGACTAAATAGTATTTATACCTTAGTCAGCACAGGTGAACCACTTGAAAAGCAGACAGCAGAATTTAGCAGCTATAAACATGGCTTCAGGAAAATAAAGGCTGCTATTTCTTTTCTGACTGATTCTCTGTAGTAGTCTTGTTGCATGACTATTCTCATCTGTTAGATGTGTACATTTGTCTTTATCAACTCTTTAATTCTTCTTATAGGAAATTGATGGCAAATCATTACTGTTGATGACAAGAAATGATGTACTGACTGGACTTTCATTAAAACTGGGGCCTGCGCTGAAAATCTATGAATATCACGTAAAACCTCTACAGACACAACATCTAAAGAACAACTCTTTGTAGTGAATTGTCTCATTGGGGTCATGTTGTACCTCAAAGGAAAAATAAGCAATTTGGTTTCATGTGATGGAACTTTGTAAAGAGGGAATATATCTATTAAGAGTTTAAACCAAATTACCATATATATCCTATTGGATAGAGTTGGCAATATACTATATACTGAGTCTGAACTGAGAGAGGTGGTGTGTATTTTTTACATAGTACATAATGATTTTCTCTTTTAGGAAGTGTCAGTCAGCATGTTGAGGTAGCTACATCACTGTATCCAGAACAAAAGGGAGGTATGTCATTCTCATTTTTGAGCCAGACAAGTTCTTGATTTCATTAATTGAAATACAAAAAAAAAAAAATAAAACCAACCCCAAATAAAGTCTACAGGCATCTTTAGGAGAGAGAAACCAGTTAAAGTAGGTTTTGGTTTACACTGAAGACCTGTTAAAATTATTCCTACTTTTAATTTTAGGATGGGACTGACACTTGCCAAGTCACCCTTTTTTGCAGAGGGTCCTATTTTGACCTTATTAAGGTTTACTCATGGTATGCTGCAATGTTTAAAGCTGTACATACAACTAACATAACTCCTTCAATAGCAGAAGGTATTGCTGACAGGTGAAACTGGGTTGTGTATTTTTTGCTGTTCTTTAAATTTTCAACTTGTTTTCACCTGTTTTTAATAGTAGTCCAATGTAAAATATAGTTGGTTTTTAAAGGTTTGTGTTCCTTTGCAAACGACAACAACAAAAGCTTAATTTTATTTCTTTTTTAATTTATGATTGTTTTCTAACATTATGCAGAAATTTGTAAAAAGTAAAATTCTGCACATTTTTAATACTGTCTGTCTTTGGTGTTGTAATGATTGGAGGTTTTTTAATGCTTTACTTAACAGTTAGAATACTTGTTTTAAGAACTGAAAGAAGCTGTCTCATCACCATACATCTCTGTTAAAAGAGAGTCTTGTTCAATCTGTTTGTACCAGTTCCCTATTTGATAGGTTGCTTGCTATATCCCAATAAAACATTGCTTATGTTTGGATTCAGTTTACTTTACAGGTCTTTTACTTTCTCTCTTTCTTTGTTGTGGTTTATTGGAGCTCCTGTTTTTCTCCATTTTCCTATTAAAAAGGTACCAAAATCTACTTAATATTCTATGTTCTTGTGATTACTTTTAACATCACCTACCATGATATTTAAAGATTTAATTATTTTTGCTTTTTCTTATCTGGTGTTCCATAGTGCCGAAGGAGAAGCCCTGATCCCAGTTCACTGGTAGCACCTGTGCTTCCCTTACCCCTGTCAGAGCTGCAGAGCTGCTGTGCTAGCCTTGGTACACAAGTGATTTGATTTCCCCCCAAACCTCTGGGAGACAGCCCATGGATGGTGCCAAGCCCTGTCTGGGCTCACCATCGTCTCTGGCCCAGAGAGCTTTGTGATAACCCCTGAAACTGGGGTGTGGGGTTACATCGGTGAGGCTGAGCAAAGAAACCAGAAAGTAGGAAATAAGCATGAGAGTGTGGTGACAGTGGAACTGATGTGGGAGGAAATGGTGAGGGGGTGCAGCTGAGAAGGGAGAAGAGTGCTGCTTTCTGCCAAGTGGGGAAAGGATTCAGGGAGAGGAAGGAGGAGCTCCCATAATCCCCTGCTTAGGTGGTGGCCCTGTCTTCACTCTGACTTGGCCAAGGGCGAGGTGGCTGTTCATGCTACAGCGCTCAGAGAGTTGCTTATGGTTTCTGGTGTTGGATTTGAGAAGGGATAAGGCCATGTTAATGGCTATGCCATAGGTAAAGCTCATGGTATATGCTATAATACATAAACTATATACAGTGGCATGCTTTCTTGTTTACTTTCAACCCTTTACATTGTACAACATATTTATTTGGAATTTGAGACAATAGGATGGAGATGTATTCACCATTTCTTTTTCTGTCCCTTGTGCTGTTCTTACTTCAGGTATTGGTCTGTTAGCAGCAGGTTTGTAAGTCACGGTCTGAATTCTGCTTATGATTTTGTTTATAGTTGGTAGTGTCCAGAGGTGCCTACTGGGAGTGGGCATCTTCTGCAAGACTAGATTCAAATAGAGATCATCATTGCTACCTTGGGGAGTTTTGAGGTATAGTCTGTATCAGGCTAATTGTGGACTGCAATTGAAAAATTATATATGAAACTCCTACATATTTTAATATAGAATTAGGTCTGTTTATGAAAAGGATTATGAAAAGCTGCGTGCAGCAGTCTGGACATGCCTACCAGCCCTGTATTTGTAGAATTGTTTTTGGATGAGAATACATAATGCTGTGTTACTGAAGGATTAATTGAATATTCTCTTCTCCATTTGCATGTTTGGTGTGGGATTGACATATTTTGTGGATCTATGGATGACACAGAATTAAAAGTAAAACGTATTTATGAGGGAGTAAAAATCTCTTCTGTGCAGACATGAGAGTGCATTTGATGATTACTGAGCACAGTTCTTTCTTTTAATATGTTTTAATGAGCAAATGAATTGCATTCAGAAACATCCAGATTGTATTCCCCTTTTCCTCAGCACCATTGAGTCACACAAGTAAAGGCGTAACAGAAAGCTTGCTGCGAGTGCCAAAGGGAATTTGCAGGATGTTGCTCAAAACTGTGACAATTTTTTTACTATTCCTGATCTTTATTGTAGTTTCCTACGGTTCTCTGAGCTTTCTAATGCTGCTGTTCCCTTTGTGCAGGTCACCGTTCTGGTTTTGTCTCTTACATTCTCCTTGCTGTTTCTGGGAGAACAAAAAAATCTTTTTAAAAGAGACTGGAGGGTTTGAAAGAGGAAGTCAAAGCCAGATTATTTTTAGCTACCATTCCTCTTGCAGAAAACACAGCTGCTGTTGAGATGAGGAAGCGACTGATAGGCATTACTTGGATACCGTGTCAGTACTGCAGCTCTGAGTCGAAGCGCTATGCAGGAATCCAATTTATGACCCCCTTAAACGTGCCTGCAGCTAGGAGAGTCTCTCTTCCTTAAAAGCCCTCCCTGTGCTTTGGGTGATGGTTAAGCTGCCAGCTCTGACTGCTCAGCTGATACTGAGCATGACAGTGGTCTTTGCTTTCACACCGAACCACAGTTCAGAGAGTGTCCTCCTTCTCCTGGAGGCATCTTTAAGGAGCAAAGCAGCAGTGAGCTACCCTGCCCTGCTGCTGCCAGTCAGCACAAAAACAGAGCCATGCTGCAGCCAAGGGCCTCCTGCTCCCTGTCCTTCCTCTTACCCTTTGTATAATACCAGCAGTGCATATCTATCACAATCTCTCGTGCACTTTTAAAAATTATTTGAAAGCATTACAGTATGCTTTTTCTGATATAACGGTTGTGAAATATATATTGGTATTGTTCATTAGCTCTAGTCACTCTCCTCTCAAGCTGTAAATACGCAGTGCATGGCATACTCTCTTTGCATCCAAACACAGTGCCAAGTGCCACATGTAGAGCACATATAAGGCAATGGTCAGCAAAGTATGGGGTCTGTGGCTGTGCCTGTCCACCCAGATCACTTTCTCAACCCAGAGAAAATTGTTCTATGTGCTGCTATCTCCCATCCCTGCATGTTATTGTTCTCCGTTTGTTCTCATGTGCTGCACTTTATCAATTTGTAGAAAATTCTTTGCTCCCGTAATTATAGGACAAGATTTGGCATCTGTAATGAAGGGAGCAGCCACCTGTGGATAACTCCTGGTTAGAAATGGCCCAGGCAAAACATCTCATTAAGCCCTCACTCTCAGTGATTACTTGCTAAATGACCCTTCCCTCTTTTTAATACTTTTTCCTACATGTTCAGATTCTATCCAATCCTTTCACTCTTCTTCCTTTTAAAAATCAGCATTTAATTGATCTGTTTTCTTCAATAGTTCTCTTTCTATTGTCACATTTAAGTTAGAATCACAGTTAATTTAAAATCAGAGAGTCATAATTTCTGTGAGTCTGGGGGGAGCTACAAAATGAGTTCTCATTTTTTAATGGCAGTGTTGTCTAAAATTTGAAAGCTGAGTCCGAGTAGGACCAGAAAAACATTACCTCTCTTTGTCTCTGTTCTGGTTCTTTGCTTCCAAGTCAGAACAGTAGTGCCTTCCCCTCCAGAAATGGTTTTTGGCCCAAAAGTCATGTGGGAAATTAAATGACTAACTGTGCATGTGAACAATGTAACCATCACTGGCTCAGTAAGCAGCAGGAGTGGAGCGGGATAGGGAAGGATCTGCTCTACCCTTTCCTTCAGGGACAGTTTACACAGGCAGTGGGTTGGCGTCTGCTTCATCTAATGAGATGACTTGGGGCTTGGGGATGGCAGCCAAGAGAGCTCGTCCATATCCCATTCCATCCCACCCACGATCTCCATACACCTTCACCTCTGCGTTGCTCAGTTTTGACAACAGCTTCCCCAGAGGAGGTGCAAGGACAGTGGCTGTCATTAGCCCATTGGCAGCCTGCAAGGGCAGCTTCTGTTGGGAGAATGGGCAGACTGATTTAATAAATAGCTTTCATTCCTGTTGGGAAAATCTGTCTTCTTTTTAATACGATAATGTAACAAGGTCATTAAATTATTTTTTGTTTAGCCTCTATAATTAGGGAATTGATTTAGTGATGTTATTTGGATCCCAGATGTATATGCAACTCTCAGAATAGCATTGGTTGGTAGTCACTGTAAATTTGGGGAATACAGCTGTAACCTCAAATACCTGGAGAGCCCAAGGGGAGCACCTTGAAGACTGTAACTGGTCCTTGGTCTCCATGTGAGAGTTTCATTGCTGCTGGAGGCTGCTGGTGAGTACTGGAGACAACTGTTGTATTTACATGCTGCACTCGTGAGCATATTTGTTAAAGGAGCAGTCAGCTGTTAGAACTGCTGTATCATCAGCTGATCTGCTGAAAAGGCAACAGCAAATGTCTTGGCATTGGCAGGCTTGCGCTCATTTCAAGATGTTCTCTTCCCCTTTTCGGATGATTGCTGTAATGCAGCTGCCCCTCTATAAACACTCTGCAGTACTTGCCATGTTGAGGACGCCTCTGACTTTGTAGCAGCTAAATAGTATCAAAAAAGGGAGGGAATGCTCATCATTTGCACCAGTCTCTGATTCGAGAGTAATGTGGCTTTGTCTTGTCCTGGTGGATGGCAGTAGGTGGAAGGAAGTAGAAAGTGTGGTACTTCTAGCTTGTTCCCAAGCTGGTGGTGAAACCACAGCAAGAGAAGTGTGGAAGTGGGTATGGTCTAGCAACCCTGTTTCACAAGGATACTCTTAACTCCCTCCTCCAGTATAAA